TTAGCACTGACTGGCAACTCTGATTACCTCAGAGACAAACTATTGGAGGTCTCCTAATGAAGAGCAGTGCAGTATGTATGGTAGCTGGGCAAAAACAAACAAACAAACGAACAAACCCAAAATCTGAACCTGATTAATTAGAGGAAGTAAATTAAATATTTTCAGGAATAAGAGAGGAGGATGGTAAATATACCAGAGGAATATAATGGAAAATTCTGGAAAGAGGGACAATATTCCCAGGAGCACCTAGTTTCTTTCACAAAACTGAAAACTGCAGTATCAAAAAAAGAGGAACAGCCAGGCGTGGTGGTACACACCTTTAATCCCAGCACTTGGGAGGCAGAGGCATGGAGAATTCTTACAAAAGTAAAAATGTTGAGAGGCAGAGGCATGCAGATCGTTGTGAGTTCGAGGCCAGCCTGATCTACATAGTGAGTTCCAGGACAGCTGGGATTTTATCTCCTTTTTCAAAAAAAAAAAAAAAAAAAAAAAAAAAAAAAAAAAGGAACAAGCTGGGCACTTGGGATGCAGAGGCAGGTGGATCTATGAGTTCAAGTCGAGCCTAGCCTACATAGCAAGTTCCAGGCCAGCTGGAGCTACAGGGAGACCCTGTCTGGAAAAGACCAAAAAAACAAAACAAAAGAGGAACAGTAGAGGCTGGAGAGATGGCTCAGCAGTTAAGAGCACTTACTGCGTTTCTAGAGGACCCAGGCTCAGTTCCCAGCACCTACATGGTAACTAACAACCAGCAATAGCTACTGTTCCAGGGAACCTGACACCCTATTTTGGCCTCCACAGGCATTGCACACTTGTGGTATACTTACATCCATTCAGACAAAATACTCATACACATAAACTAAAAATAATCTCTTTTTAAAGAGGAATAGGGCTGGCAAGATGACTCAGGGTAATGATGCTTGCCACCAAGCCCGATGAGTTGAATTCAATCCCCAGAGATGGTGGAAAGACAGAACTGATTCTGAAAGTTGTCCTCTACCCTCCATGTGTGCACCATAGTTCGTTCTCTCTCTCTCTCTCTCTCTCTCTCTCTCTCTCTCTCTCTCTCTCTCTCACACACACACACACACACACACACACACTCATACATTAAATAGAATAAATTTTAAATAAGGAACAAAAAAACCCTCTCACATTCATGGCAGGGAGCAGTGGCACAGGCCTTTAATCCCAGCTCAAGGCCAGTGTGGTCTACACAGCAAGTTCCAGGCCAGCTGGGACTACAGGGACACCTGTCTCAAAAAAATCCAAAACACCAACAAACTAACATATTTGTGAGACTAATGGAAATTTGAATTCTGACTCCTATTAAAAAATTGTTAAATTTTAACCAGGCATGGTTTTAATGGTTTTAATCCCAGCACTCAAGAATCAGAAGCAGGTGGGTCTCTGATCAAGGCCAGCCTGGTCTACATAGTAAGTTCCAGTCCAGCTGTGGCTACAGGAAGACCTTGTCTCAAAAACAAACAAAAAAAGTTAAATTTTTAGGGGATATTGTATATACTTACATATTGTTAAAAAGAATTCATCTTTTTATAGATATTAAAATATTTACATAAGATGCTATGATATGGGCTAGAGAGATGGCTTAGAGGTTAAGAATACTGGCTGTTCTTGCAGGGGATCCAGGTTCAAATCCCAGCACCCATATGGCAGCTAACAACTGTCCATAACTCCAGTTCCAGGGGAATCCAACACCCTCTTCTGACCTCCAAAGGCATTGCACAACACAGGTGTACTTACATACACGTAGGCATACACTCATACACTAAAAAAAAAATAAAATAAAATATAAGATGTTATGATGCTTGGAGCTGCTTTATAGTAATTTGTAGGGAGCATGGATGGGGAAGGAATGGCTACCAGTTGACGGTTACTGGGTCTGATTATACCATTGTTTATTTATTTTATAATTTTTTATCTTTAATTTAGACATGGGATTTTCCTTTTGGTATAACTTATCTAATTAAAATATTCATTTGTAGTTACCACAAAATAGTCACACAGAAAATTGTATTTATATTTTGGAATCAAAGATCGCCAAATAAGAGGAGGATAAAGCTTATTTCTCCAAAGGAGAGAAAGAAAGGCCCAGAGAGCCCCTCATTACAGCAAGGATCAAAAGGGGCTAATCTGTGATTTGGTGATTTGTATACAGAAAAAAATTGTACAAGTTTTCATAAATACAATCAAAAGCTGAACATCATTGTGCATCTGGTTTGTAGCCATTTCATAGCTGAGGAGGAGTTTGTGGAGACCACTACTGTGTAGTTTGAGGCAAGGTCTTACACTTGCTTAGGCTGGTCTCACACTTAGCCTAATCGAGCCCGGAACTTGAGATCTTCCTCCTCTGGTCTCCCTGTTCGCTGGGATCAGCTACACCTGCACCACTATGGCTGCTCTTCTGCATTTCAAACTTACTGTCATAAAAAGTTTGGGTGTGTGTGGGTGGGGTGTGTCCGCAGGCTGAATGCTGCTACAGGCTGCCACTTTGGAACCTGTGTGAACTTTTGTTCAAAGCTATAAAACGACAACAATTGAATTCTTATTGCTTCCGTTATGAAAAGGGACAGAGGTTAAGTGACTTGTGTGCATTTTACTTTTTTGAAATCTCAGTTCTTTTGTTGTGTTGCTTTCTGAGACAGTGTCTCACTCTATAGCCAGGCTGGCCTCAAACTTTGACAATCCTCCTGCCTCAGTCTTTGGAGAGCTGGGATTACAGTCGTGAGCCCCACACACACCTTTTAAGCTGCAGCTCTACTCACTTCACAAAGCCTTCTCAGGTCAACTCCTACCATGCCCACACCCTCTTCAGTGGGCTCATCAGTATAATTTTCTTCCAAACCTTAATTAATCAGCATTGACATTAAACTACATCACAGCTGGAGTGAGGATACACTGCTGAGGGAGTCAATAGTCACTGGCATCTGGTATGTGCAGACCATCAAGGAATGAACAGGTGCTCCCACACAGAAAGAACGTGACTTTCCAGTAGCCTGGTGAGCTTTTCGGTTTCCAGGTGACAAGGCAGAAGTGAAGAAGTAACATAGCTTGCTAGACTAGAAAGCCCTTGACTCAGTACTGGAATGAGTTATCCATTTCACAACGACTGAAACTATCAATTTCAATATAAACTATAAACAAAACAAAAACTCCACAGATGAGCGATCCTATCTGTACTTAGCATTTCACAGCAGAAGTTCACCAAGTCTAGGATTAAAGATCTGTAGACTGCATCTTACCCAATAACTGCAACAGGAAAGAAGTAATGTTAACACAAGTACAAGGGGACTAGGCAGAGCCCCAAAGAACCTGTTAAGTTTATAGAGAGAAGGGGCACAGTGCCCTTTTTGACCTAGGGCCCAGAAGCAGAGGTAAAGTCAGAGGAAATGAACACCATCCTCTTTATCACCCCCATGACTTTGTGTCATTTACCCATTTCTTTTTTTTAAAATATTTCATTTATTATTTTTATTTTATGTGTATGAGTGTATTGCCGGCACGTATGTGAGTGCACCCGTGTCGTGCAATGCTAAGGCGGTCAGAACAGGGCTTCAGATTTCCTGGAACTGGAGTTAAGGATGGTTTGTAGCCATCATGTGGGTGCTGGGAATCGAACCTGGGTCCTCTGCAAGAGCAGTCAGTGCTCTTAACTGCTGAGCCATCTCTCCAGCCCCCATTTACCCATTTCTAGTGACCTCATCAAATGTCAAGTTATGTGCTGGGTATTGTGGGGGTCCCAACAATGAGTAGGATGATGATCTGTTTGCCAAAACTTTAAAACCCATCAAGACGAGCAGGAGAGATGGTTCAGTGAGTGAAAGCTTTTCCATCAAGACTGACCATCCAAGTCCCATCCCCAGGACCCACCATGTTGGAAGGCGAGAATGACTCCCACAAGTTGTCCTGACCATCACATGTGGGAATCCATGTGCACACACACAGATGGAGATAAGTAAATGTAAGAGGTCTAAAGTCATCTTTCAAGAATATTGACAATAAACTTGGTGTTAGGAAGAGTGAGCATAAAGCAATTCCCATTTGCCTGAGCACCCAGACTTGCAAGAATTCCCTTTTTGAAGCTTAATGATCAGCAAAAGCCCAAGGTGATGCCAAATCCTGGCCAGGAGAGGGGGACATCAATAACCTGACATACAGGCTTCCAAATCCTAAGTAAGATTATAAAACCCAACCCTGATCTGTACTATGTCCCACATCTGGAGAGAGCCCGGTTGCCAAGTAAGGCCCTGCAGTAGGGCAGAAGGCAACTTCAAACTCCAATCCTCTGGAGACACAAGGCTTCTGAGATTCCAGTCCATGAAACCAATGTCACTAACTTGGGAAGGTCCTCTGACCTCTCTGGATCTGTTTTCTTATCTGAGGATGCAACACACTAGGTTTCCAAGATCCCTCTCACCTAAAATCATTTGAGTCATTTTGGGCGGCAGAAGCTCCCAGGAGCATTCCTAGTCTCCAAGCTTGGGCACTATCCAAAGGTTCCTACTCTGAACCTTTATTGACTCCAAAGACTATAAACCCCAAGTTTGGGATGAACAGGGAGGGTTTTCTCCCACTCCCCCCAACACCCGCCACTCACATAGGTCTTGCCTCATTCTTGGCAGTACGCCTTGAGCAGCTCGCCAGCTCCCACTCTGCCCCACTCTGCTAATTCATTAATCATTAAAAAAAAAAAAAGTTCTACCCCCTTGTGCCTGGACGTTATCATGATTCAGAACAATCCACTCCCAACGCACTGGGCACGTGGGTCGAAAAGCAAGGCTTCCACTCGGCCCCGGGGTCGCTTACCCTACGAACTTCCCAGGCTCTAAAGGCATCCAACGGCCCCTGCACCCTCTATCACGGCCCCTTAGGACCGAGTGTCCCAGCACTCCAATTCCAATCTCCCGGGATATAGACCCCGCAGGCCTGGGCCCACCGCCCAGCTCCGGCTGCCCTGACTTAAGACCCGATCGGACGCTCACCTGGGTCCCCTTCCCAGCCCCGGGTGGCCCGAGCAACACGGCCCGGATGCCTTTCCGGTACTCGGATTCCGCCGCCAGCGCGTTTGGAGCCATGTCCGCCGAAGTCTTTCGCTGCCAGCCACCCGCACACCTCACAGGTTCGGTGTCTACAGGCCAGCTCCACGCAAGCCACGCACGCCCTACCCCCGGATCGCACTGGCAGCTCGCCGCGTCCTTCAGCCCTCATCGCCCGCCCCCCGAGAGCGATGGACACGACCGCCGACCAATAGGACGGCGAGGCTAAAGGACCCTACTTCTGATTGGATAGAATGGGTGCGGGAGTGAGGAAGAGGCGGGCCATCGTGGGCTGAACTGGGCTCCCTGCCTGTGTGTGCAGTGGGCGGGAAAACGAGAAGGAAGACACAAGTTGCGCGCGGAGTTCTAATTCAGGCGTTTGACAGTTAATGACACCAGCGGCTCCATTTAAAGCTTAAGAACGCGTGGGAGTGTAAGTGGGTGTAATCACTTAGAAAACAAATTGGCAATAATGTATCAATGCCCTTTGGGCCGGTAAGTGCACTGCTAGAAATTCAAAGGACGTAAGGATATCTGTAATGATTTTGTAACAAAGATGTTGATTGCTTTATTAAAAACAGCCCGAAAGCCCAACACCAAAAAATAAATAGCTCAAATATCTAACAATAAGATTGGTTAAATACATTGCAACAAGTTTGTATCCTGGGATCCCCCTTTCTATAAAACTTTGTATAATCAGGGGAAAATCACCCCGATACACAAAATTGCTGTAACAAGAAAGCCCGATTTTGTTTGCTCTTTACAAGTGCAGAGCTCTCTAGTGTGATTAGAGGAACGTTTCTCCTTCCTGCGTTTTTATATTCCGAAAAAGTTGTATAATGAGTTCTATAGTAACAGGCATTAAGCCAGTCTTAATGGTGCAGACTTGTAATCTCAGCTATTTTGGGAGGCTGAGGCACGAGAACCACGAGTTCAAAGCTTGTCTGGGCTACAGAGTGTATTCAAAGCCAGCCTGTTGTCAAAATAAAAAAAAGAAGAGGGCTTCGGTATAGCACAGTGACAGAGTGCTTAGGAAGCGCACAGGTCCCTGGGCTCAAGCCCCATGACTGCGCGCACACACACACACACACACACACACACACACACACACACACACACGATCCCTGACTTTGAAATCAAGAGAAAGATAGATTTTCTCCAGAGAAATGAGCCTGTCTTGGACAGGGAAATAATATCTACAGCTTTTTGATGTGTGAAAGTTCATCCAGTCCCAAAAGACCTTTCTCAACCTTTGGTGAAAGTATAGTTAGGAAACAATTATGCTTCCTGCAGACTCATAGTAATCATTTCCTACATCCTAGTGATGAATTTTCTGTCCTTTCAGGGACTTTACCTTATAGAAGGTTAACAGACTGGCCAGATGGCTTAGCAGGTAAAGGTGCTTGTCACCAAAGCCCAGTGACCTGAGTTCGATCTCTAGGACCCACATGGTGGAAGAAGAGAACTGGCTCCTGAAAATTGTCCTCTCACCTCCACACATATTCTGTGGCACATCTGTGCAGGCACACACACACATGGAGTAAGTGTAAAGAATAAAAATGAAGCTAGCAGGCCTAGTGCACACCTTTAATCCCAGCTAGGAGGCAAAGGCAGGCGGATCTCTGTGAGTTTGAGGCCAGCCTGGTCTACATAGCAAGTTGCAGACCAGCTGGGAGTACAGAGAGAACCTGTCTCAAAAAGGTCAAAAACAAAACAACAACAAAAAAGTTAGCATTATTCTTCTTGTTCATCCTGGACTTCTTTTTTAAAAAAAATAGGAACCTGCTTGATCTTGGTGTCTCCTAGGGGCTGTGAAGGAAGCAGAGATTATTGTGCCATTTTTCACCAAGGAGGCTGAAGCCCAGAGTTATGCAGGGATCAGTTCAAAGTTACACAGAAGCAGAATTACAAGGATAGGAGATAGGATCTGGGGTGATGATGACCCATTCAACTGTGCCTGCCACTCAAGCATGAGGACCTGAGTTCAGATTCCCAGCCTCCAGGTAAAAAGCCAGGCATATCAGCAGTCTGTAATCCCTGCCTGGGGAAGGTGGAGCTAGGCAGATCCTTGGGGGGTCATTGGTCAGTTAGTCTCGCCCAATCAGTGAACTCCACGTTCAGTGGAAGACCCTGTCTCAAAAAATAAGGTGGTGGTGGGCATGGTGGCACACACCTTTAATCCCAGCACTGGAAAGGCAGAGCCAGATGGATCGCTATGAAATGGAAGACAGCCTGGTCTACATAATGAGGTCGAGGCTAACTGGGGCTACAGGAAGACCCTGTCTCAAAAAAGACAAGAGAGAGAGAGAGAGAGAGAGAGAGAGAGAGAGAGAGAGAGAGAGAGAGAGAGAAAGGAAAGAAAAAAAAGGAAAAACAAAGGACTGGTGTCCCAGAAAACACAGGGTTTATAGGAACTAGCATATTTTCTCTAGAGGAAGCGTCTGTGTAGCTAAAATCACTTTCATCACTAATCCCTGTTTTGATTCTGACCAGGCATGGACACCACTGCCCAGTAGCGAAAGCAACTAAGAAATATAAATAATACAAATTGTAAAGATTTATTTATTTGTTTGTTCCTGATTTTTTTTTTTTTTGGTCTTATTTTGTTTGGTTTGAGACAGGGTCTCCCTGTAGCCCCAGCTGATCTGGAACTTGTTTTATAGACCAGACTGGCCTCCATCTCACAGAGATCTGCCTGCCTCTGCTTACCAAGTGCTGGGATTAAAGCTGAGCAGCACCATGCCCGCTTGTTTTTGATTTGTAAAAATATTTCATTTATGGGGCTAGAGATGGCTCAGTGGTTAAGAGCACTGACTGCTCTTGCAGAGGACCCAGGTTTGATTCCCAGCACCCACATGGTGGCTATGAACCATCCTTAACTCCAGTTCCAGGGGAATCTGAAATCCTCTTCTGACCTCCGTGGCATTGCATGACATGGGTACACTCACATACATGCAGGCAATACACTCATGCACATAAAATTAAAATAATAAAATATGAGTATATTGCCTGTATGTATATAAGTGTACCCAGGTTGTATAGTGCCCACAGAGGTCAGAAGAGGGTGTTGGATTCCCCTGGAACTAGCACTATGGACAGTTGTTAGCTGCCATGTGGGTGCTGGGAATCAAACCCGGGTCCTCTGCAAGAGCAGCTAGTGCCCTTAACCACCGAGCCATCCATCCAGCTCCTGTTTTTGATTTTTTGAGACAATCTCTTGTATTCCAGGTTGATCTTGAACTGGCTATGTAGCTGAGGATGACCTTGAACTCCTGATCTTCTTGCCTTTACCTTTGTAGTGCCTGTATAGCAGATGTGTATCTCTATGTCTGGCTTTACACAGTGCTGGAGATTGAACCCAGAATTTTGTGCATGCTGGGTAGTAGTGCTATATTCACTGAGTTACATCCCTAGTCCTATTTATTCAATTATAAATGTCCTAGGCTTTGAGGCATAGTAAGGAACTATTAAAAAAAAAGATCCTGTGAAAAGAAAGCAGGTTCTTTTTTTTTTCCTTTTAATTTTATTTATTATTTTTATTTTATGTGTACGTGTGTATTGCCTGCATGTAGCTAAGTGCCTCCGTGTCATGCGATACCCGTGGAAGACTGAAGAGTCTGCA